GGACACCACCAGCTGGAAAGCCCCGCCCCCCAGCACCCACCTGACCAACATGGCGCGCACTTTGTCCGCCTCGGGGAACAGGTCCCACACCTTCCCGTTCATCTTCTCGTTGACCACGTAGCGGTGGCACGTCCGCCAGTCGCCCATCTTCATCGCCTTGGACGCCGCCACCACGTGCTCCCGCATGGACTCCGGTGGCCCTGAGGGGGGGGTCGAGAAGAAGACACTTAGGGGGTGGCGAGCTGGAGGGGGAGGTCCCCTGGTCCTGGAGGTCCCCTGGTCCTGGAGGTCCCACCGAGGAGGGGTTGTCTCTCGCCGACGCGCAGCTGGTGGTGGAACTGCTTGCTGATCATGCGGCGGCGGGCGTCGAACTCGTGGGCCGCCATGTAGGGGACCTCCAACAACATGGCCGCCACCAGGTAGACGCACTCCAGCAGCTCCAGGTTGACGTGCATGTGGAAGGGCACCTGGCGCCGCTTCTCCACCTTCTCCTGCTCGGCGTTGCGCTCCTGGAGGCTGCGCAGGAGGAGGCCCTGGCCCAGGAGCTCCTTGGCCCGGCCCGACGACTGGATGTCCAGGAGGGCGTTGTGGGCGTCCTTGATCAGGCCCTCGCGGAAGGCGCAGATGCCCAGCTGGACCATGGTGCGGTTGTAGAGGATCTGGGGGGTGAAGAACCCAGGAGGAACCCGTGAGGAACCCGTGAGGAACCATGAGGAACCATGAGGAACCATGAGAAACCCGTGAGGAACCCTACTGAGATGTTGAAGGACCTGAAGAACCCATGAAGAACCTTCAAAGAACCCTACTGAGATGTTGAAGGACCTCAAGAACCTGTGAGGAACCTTCATGGAACCCTACAGAGATGCTGAAGGACCTGAAGGACCTGAGGAACCTTCAAGGAACCTGTGAGGAACCCTACTGAGATGTTGAAGGACCTCAAAAAACCATGAGGAACCCATAATGAACCCTATTGAGATGTTGAAGGACCTGAGGAACCTGTGAGGAACTCATGAGTAACCCTCCAGAGATGCTGAAGAACCTCAAAAACCCATGAGGAACCCATGAGGAACCCATAAGAAACCCACTGAAAATGACAAAGGACCTGAGAAACCTTTAGGAACCCTATGGAGATGCTGAGAGACTGGAGGAACCCCTGAGGAACTGCTGAGGAACCCTTGAGGAACCTTAGGGAGATGCCATAGAACCCTCAAGGAACCTCCTAGAGCCGCCGAACCACCTGGAAAACTCCGTTATGGACCTCAGCACCCTACCCCCACCCCCAATCCCTCAAGAACCCTTGAGGAACCCTTGAGGAATCCTTGAGGAACCCTATGGAGATGCCGTAGAACCCCCGAGGAAGCTCCTAGAGCCGCCGAACCACCTGGAAAACTCCGTTATGGACCTCAGCGCCCCACCCCACCTCCGCGCCGTGGGTCGCGCCCCACCTGGACGGGGGGGTCGGCGTGCTGGATGTTGTCCTGCAGGTGGGACATCAGCATCAGGTCCCTGGCGGCGTACCAGCGGCTGGGCAGGGCGGGGG